TTAATATGCTGAGCTGTGAAAGGCTCAAGTCAACAAATTCTGTGGATAACTCACTACTATTGTGGACTGCTGGACTGTGTTGGATTGTTTTGCTAAATTCACACACCTATAGTATTTAGATGCCAATGGAATACCCATTTCTGTTGGGACTAAACAAAAAAAGGGGATACAAAGGAAGGACCATTTTGTATTTGTATATATGCAGAATAGTTAGGATAGATACACAACTATTTTCTCTTAGTTCAATGAGAAGAAAGATTTGTACTAATAGTGTTTGGACAAGATATCCATCTTGTACTATGGATAACCACTAAGAAGATAACAATGTATGTTGTATTAATTATTGAAACTGTCCTATTAATCAGTTTTGAAACTATCTCATTACCATTTGTTTCTCAATAAAATAAAATTTTTAAAAATGAAAGAAAGAAAAAAGAAAAGACATCTGAAATGTTGGGAATATTTTTAATTAGAGGTTTTATATTAAAACTTGAAAAAGAGATTTAACTTCTTTTAGTACTATGGATTAAAGAGCCTTTGTACTGACCACAGCCCTGAGTGATTTTTTATTTTGAAACACAGCCTCAATAACTTGTACAAGCTGTGCTTGAATCTGTGATCCTCCTGTCTCAGCCTCCCAGAGTGCTGGCATGACAGGCATGTTCAACCTTGCCCAGCAGCAGTCAGACCTTTAAAGAGTATGTATTCAAATGAGAGAGAAAGAGTTGTAGACTCCCAACATTGAGGAGTTTTCATCATGTGAACTCTGGGCATATAGAGAACACTTCCACATATGGTCCTTTTAGAAAGAGCTTCCAATGCAAATATGAAAGGCAATGAGTCTTTGTTCCACATATTCCCCTTGTAGGCTCAGAACACGAGGAGGCAGTAAAGGCTGTAGTCAGATTTCACACTTGATGCTGGCATTTAGCAGATTCGTGCCTTGGACCAGTCACTAAAGCACTTGCCATCTTTTAGCCTCATTTTTCCATGTAAAAAAGAAGATCAGAAAAGGACTGACTTCAGAGGGTATTTGGAAGTATGGGATAAGATTATGCATGTAATTGTGTCTTAATGTGAACCTCTCATGCAGATCCCTGTGTTATGGGAATAGATATTGGACGCTGCTATGAAATTCACTTTAGATATTTCTACAACACAACCTCCAAACAGTGTGAAAGTTTCTTCTACAGTGGCTGTGCTGGCAACCTTAACAACTTCAAGCTTAAAATAGAATGTCAAGTGGCCTGTATTCCAGAATACGAAATCAAGTAAGAAAGACAATCCTATTCTTATTGTTTCATGGGATGAAAAAGAAAAACTCTGAGGTTCCCCAGATAGAGAAAATTGGTCAGGGATCACCCCAGACTTGAGATAGGAAGAGGGAGGGTTATTGTAATTTAAAAATTCAACAGGTGGGTCAGGACTCACAGCCTTTTACTCATTTTGAAGTTAGGAAATCAGACATCCAGAGGGAAAATAGTAGCCATTATCTGTTGAACAATTACCACATTCCAGGTAATAGTTAACATACTAATTAAGTACTAATTAACATGCCATAGTGTGACACAGTCTTAAGTAACTCAAATAATTAACATACCATAGATTGACACAGTCTTAAGTAACTCTAAAGGAGATGTTCATTGTTTATTCATGTGACAGCTGAGGAAACCATCCCCAGTAAAAGTAACCAACCAGCTCTAGTTCATAGTAAATGAGCAAGATTTTTAACCAGACCCAACAGTCATTCCAGTCTTGACCACCTCACATGTACTAAGATCATACAAATCAAATCATTGCACTCCCAGACATTCAAAAGTTCCACAACAGCACAGTGATTTACACTTGATCTTTGCTAAAAGGCCAAGAAGCAATTTCAGTACAGTGACCATTTCTAACTCACTGGGAGTTTAAAGTCAAGGAAGCTTAACTGAGTAAGTCAAAATTTTCCTTACTCAAAATTCAGAGTAACTTGACATGAATTTTGATTTGCTCACTTTATATTTTTAGGGAATCTTCACAGTGCCTGGCATATTTTAGGCAATAACTAAGTTTTACATGAGTGAAAGTAATAATAAAACAATGAACAGCAGGAACACTGAGATAAAAGCCATCCTCTAGGCTTATTGTAAGGAGAAAAAATGACCTACATTAATCAAACAAGACCTTTTGAAACCTGTGACATATTTTTTTTTCTTTTGCTTTAACAGGGAAGAAAAGCTGCAAATCTAGCTCAGCGGACTAAGCACCTCCTTAGGCAAGCACAGGGACCGGGTTCAATCCCTGTCACCACATGCCGCACCAGCACCACCCCTGCACTCCTGTAATCCCAGCACTGGGGAGGATGAAAACAGCAGGATCATTATGAGTCCAAGCTGCATAGTGACACTTAGCCCAACTTGAGATCATTGTAAAATTACCAGAATCCATGAAACTTCCATCTGTTTATTATTCTCCACACCTGAATTTTGTCTTTCCTGAAAAAAAAAATTAAAGAGACTTCATATTGTCCTCCTCATTCTCTGACTTTCCCCCCTTCTACTGCACCAAAGAAGGTCACCTACTTCCAGAAGGCCCTCTCTCAATCCTGAACTCTTCCACATACATACATGTTACACTGAAATCATTCCCAGGGTACCTAGCCAAACCTGCTTATGTTTGTATCACCCACTGTTTCAAACTAAGCTGGTTAAAGGAACCAAAGTTCAAAATCCATTTTTCCTTTGTCCTTGAAATCCAACCTAGCAGAGAACTTAGTACGGATATGGACTGTCCCTTCACTCATAAACTTTTCTTTATCAGGGAATTCCCATCTCCCAAGCCTTGACCCCCAACTTATATAACTGATCTTTTGACATGTTCCATGTTTACAAGGAATTATTTAGACATTTTTCATCTTTTTTTTTCAGTACCGGGAATCAAACTCTGGACCTTATGCTTGCCAGACAGGTGCTTATGCCACTGAGTTATCTCCCTACCCCTATTTAGACATTTTTAAGACATAAAAAGTTGACTTGGCTGAAGCAAAAGGATCTTGGTGGGTTGATGCCAATCTAGGCTACATAAGTAAGTTCAAGCCCAAACTGAAGGACCCACAAAGACGCTGTCTCAAAAAAATAAATAAATAAATAAATAAATAAATAACTTGGTTGCCATCCATCCTTCTAGAAGAACTCTGAACTTGAGTCCAGTAATTATATGTTAGCTACCAAAACAGTGATCATCCCAACCCTGAATCTGAAGTCTTCTAAATACAATGCTATCAGGTGTAGCAGAGCCATGGTCTGCCCAGTTGTAGGATTCTTAGTTTGACCACTTCAACTCTGAACTTTCTCAGGCATCCAAACTCAACCTGCACTGACGTACGAATGCACTGATGTCTGTCCTAGTATCTATAATTGCCCTTTGTATGTATACCTTGTCCATCTTATAAGCAAGTTCCAATCCCTCACTTATAAATGACAACAATATACCAGCTTATACCAACATCAGATGCATTGTGAACTACTAAAACCCTGAAACTAGACAGGCTGCCTGGGGAATCTTAACAATGGGAAAAGAAAACTAAATAGAACAGATAGAAAAATTCAAAGCTGATACTTGGAGAAGACTCACAGAAGACAAAAAAGCACTGGCAAAGCAATCAAGAAAAAAGAGAGGGACCGGGGAGATGGCTCAGTAGATAAGTGCTTCCTTGGCAAGCGCAAGGACCTGAGTTCAATCCCCGGTTCCATCAAAAAAAAAAAAAAAAAGAAAGAAAGAAAGAAAAGAAAAGAAAAGAAAGAGAGAAAGGTCCATCCATGCGAGGATAAATGAATACATTTTGGCATATTAACCCCAAAAATGATGATGTGGCAATGAAAATAAATGAATCAGAACTGAGTCAGAACACAGTAATATGGATAACATTTTGCTAAGTACAAATGTATAAATCCAAAGAAGTCAGCAAACCTTCTCCATAAAAGGCAAGATAGTAAAAAGTTTAGATTATGTAAGTCATCAGGTAAAATTAAAGATCAATATGAAGGCCAGGGAGATGGCTCAGTGGAATATGTGCTTCCCTGGCAAGCACAAGGGCCTGAGTTCAATCCCCGGATCCACCAAAAAAAAAAAAAAAAAAAAAGAATGGTTAAAGATCAATATGAAAAATAAAGCTGGTTGCTGTGGTGCATCCCAGCTACTCAAGAGCTTCAGGCAAGATGGTTGCCTGAGTCTAGGAGTTTGAGACCAACCTGGGCAACATAATGAGGCCTCATCTCAAAAACAGAGAGAAAGAGACAAAACACAGAAAAAAAGAGACAAAATGAATAAACAAATAAAAGAGGGCTGGGGTGTAGCTCAGTTGTTAGGCCATTTGACTAGGATACATGAGACACTGAATTCAGTCCCTAACACCATAAAAATAATGGTATGTAGCATTTAACATTTAGTTTCTTACTAAATTTATTGGTGCAATTTAGATATACCTAATGATCACATTCATTATAGGGAATTTGTACCTGTACATGCTTTATACTTGGTTCCTCTTTTTTTCAATCCAGCTTACCTGCCTCCCACCCCTCTTCCCCTCCTCATTTACAAATCTTTCTTTTATCTTTTTTTCCCTTCCTTCTTTTCCCACTCCCCCTCCTTATTCCCCTTCCATTTGAAAAATTTCTTCCCATTTCATAATACCTGTTATACACTTTGGTCCTTATTTATCATTTTCTGTGTTTTTTACAATTATTGGATTTCTCTCCAGTGTGAATTCTTTCATAGGCTCAGAGATGACACAGATATGCAAAGATTTTTCCATATTCATTACATTCACTGGTCTTCTTTTTAGTGTTGAACTTTAAAAGAACTAGGGTCACTACAAGATGTGCTAAATTCATGTCTTTCAAAGGAGATAGATCTGCAGTCTAAGCACCTGTCTGGCAAGCACAAGAACCCGGGCTTGATACCCACTAGAACCCCAGGTGTGCAGTGCCAGCCAGAAAAACCAGGTATGGTGGCACACGCCTGTCATCCCATTGGTGGGGAGGCTGAGACAGAAGGATCACTACAAATCAGAGCTGTGTAGTGAGACCCTGTATCAAATAAATAAATAAAATCTTTATTTAAAAAAATTTAAAGTGACTTAAATGTCTGCAAACTATTCTACATTCTCCATAATAATATGGCTTCTCTGCAGCATATGTCCTTTCATGTATTAGAAATGAGCTAGAATGGAAAAGGTCTTTTCCACATACCTGATATTTTTAAGGCCCATCTCTGGTGTGCCACATGATATAGTTTCTGTGTTTCTTCAGAGAAATGAATGATTTCCCACATTTATAACCATGGCATGGTTCTTCTGCAGTGTGATGTGATAAGTAAATTATTGTTCTTGGTATTCCTCAATCACATATGGCTTGTACCCAGTGTTAGGAACTATGTGTCTATTAAGAGATGAGTGAGATTCCTGGGTGTGCCATGCCAGGCCTGCCACCAGGGCAAACTGAGTTGATGATTAAGACTCGGCATGGGGGTGCATGCCTGTAATCCCAGAGCTTGGGAGGCTGTAAACAGGAGAATCACTATGAGTCTGATCTACATAGTGAGACCCTGTAGATCCTGTACACCCTGCCCTAAATATTAAAAAAAAGATTTAAAAAATAAAAATAAATTTACAAAGAGATGAGTGACACGTGGAGAGTATACAGAAAACTTACTTTAACTGGTTTTGCTTCAGTGGGAATCACCTTGCCAAAATAAAAAGGCTTCTTATGTTTCCAACGTTCTGTGCATTCTTTTTATTTCCATAATTTTATTGAGAAACAAATAGCAATGAGACAGTTTCAAATCAAATTTGAAGGACAGTTTCAATAATTAACACATTGCATACATTCTTCCTAGTGATTAATTGCTGTACAAGATGTGAACTTATTATCCTATTTACAAATACCATTAGAAAAA